CCACAACTCAAGGGCATCACTTTCTTGTCAACTTTCAGATGCAAAGAAAAGCAATTTAAAAAACCATGGCTTGGCCTTTCTACGAAGATGGCACCGAAAGCGAAGAAGGAAGCCCCTGCCCCTCCCAAAACTGAAGCCAAAGCAAAGGCATTGAAGACCAAGAAGGCAGTCCTGAAGGGCGTCCACAGCCAAAAAAAAAAAGAAGATCTACACGTCACCCATGTTCCGGCGGCCTAAGACGCTGAGACTCCGACGGCAGCCCAAATACCCCCGGAAGAGCGCTCCCAGGAGAAACAAGCTTGACCACTATGTCATCATCAAATTTCCCCTGACCACTGAGTCAGCTATGAAGAAGATAGAAGATAACAACACACTTGTGTTCATTGTGGATGTCAAGGCCAATAAGCACCAAATTAAACAAGCTGTAAAGAAGCTCTATGACATTGATGTGGCTAAGGTCAACACTTTGATTAGGCCTGATGGAGAGAAGAAGGCCTATGTTCGACTTGCTCCTGATTATTATGCTTTGGATGTTGCCAACAAAATTGGGATCATCTAAACTGAGTCCAGCGGGCTAATTCTAAATGTAATAAATTTTTCTCACCATAAAAAAAAAAAACCCAAAAAACAAAAAAAACAAAAAACCATGGCTTCGATTAAGTTCACCTTAGCCTTAAAATGGACATCATTGCACTTTGGAGATCAAAACTTTGGAGAGATTCTTGGCAGAAGATTTCCCCAGCACAATTAGCCTTTGTATTTCTTGACTGCTGCTAACACGGGTCTTTTGTAAAAATACATTTATTTTAAATTGGTTTGCTTACAAAGTTGATGTACATTGTGTTTCACACTATCCTTCATTCACATTGTGTTTGTATGTAGATGCCAGTAAAATGAAATTGTTGACAACATCCATGTTTTCCCCATTTATAACGATGTTGCCTAAAGGCCTAGATGTGAGAATTTTTATTTATTTAGTGAGTTTTATTTTCTTGATGTTGAGATGTAATCCATATTGAAGGCTGTAGTCTTCAATCTTCAGTGTTTCAAGGTCTATTCAATTTCTGCAAGGTTTTGTCATCCGCATAATCTGCTATTGAGTCTTCCTCCAATTCTGATGCCACATTCTTCGTGAATGATTCTCTCAGCATATAGATTGAGTAGATTTGGAGAAAAGTGATAGGCACCCAATAGTCTATAAGTTTAGAATAATAGTGACGGGGTGCCTAGGGAAGGTTCGTTGTTGTTGTGTACAAAAAAGGCAGAATGGACTCATAGCTGACCTTCCTGCAGTTTTTCGGAGTCTGTACATTGCATGGGAGGAAACTGCCCATCTTTCTCCCACAAAATAGCTGGATTCAAACTGTACACCTTTGAGTTGGCAGTGTAACTCCTTACCACTAAGCCAGCAAAGCAGCACCTTAGTCAGATTGATTGTTGTGAGATATTTTTCGTGGAATTAAGGATTTACAGTCAAGTCACCTTGGCATTAAAACAAACCAAACCAAAACAACTACAACAATAATCAAACCAACAGAGACAGCACAGGGTGTCTTATCTGCAAGGAAGACACTTCCACCAACATAGATCACAGGATGTCTGACAACCATCCCAGGAATGGAGAGACCATATCAGATTCCCAGACCCTTCCCACCATTCCTTTTCCTTTCCCACTCCCTGGCCTTATTGGCTTCCTGGGGCCCTTCCTTCTGGAGTCTTCCCAGACAGCCTTTACCTTTTATCTACCCCCTTTTAGGGAACTCTGATGGCTTAGTTGTAAGAAGCTGCACTGCAATCCCTAAAGCACATGGTTCGAATCCACTATCTTCTGCATGGGGAAAAGATGGACAATCTCCTCCTGTGCAATATACTGTCTCTGAAAACTCATTGGAAGGTTGGCTATGGGCTGGATATGACTCAATGGCAAACAATAACCTCCTTTTAACCACCCTCCTAAAAAGCCTGAATTGATTCTGAGATGCCAGAAACAGGCCTTAGAGCATCAAGACTCCTCATGTTCTCTTAGGCAGTTGACAGCTGAGTAAATGACATTTAAAAGATTCAACCTTTGTCTCTACTCAATTAACTTGTAGCAAAAGGTAGCCTAACATTGTCCTGTTTTGGTTATGAAAGGATATTACTCTGATGCACACTTTTCCTGATTTTAAACCATGCAGTGTTTACCTGTTCTATTTGGATAATTGCCTCTTGGTCTATGTGTAGGGTTTTCATGTGCCCAATTCCATGTAGTCATAGTTCAACTTAAAACTAGCTCATTGCTGTTGAGTCAGCACTGACTCATAGCTGACCGCACCTGGTGGAGTCAAGCGTTTCAGGTTGCCAGTACAACACTTCACTAGGTCACCGGAGCCTTCCGCCTGGAAAATCCTGTGGGACAGTTCTGCTCTGTCATGTGGAATTGCTAATAGATGAAGTCCATTGGAAGGCCCCTAAAGAGGTCCTCCTTGCCGTCCACTATAACCAGGTCAGATGCTTCCCAGCTTTGAGAGTCAGTTTTCCTAAAGCTACTTTTGGTTGTGGTTATAGTCTCTTGTTAGTTTTATTCAGGGAAAAACAAAACAAAACAAAGCAAAACAAAACACTGCCCTAAGTAGTTCAAGAAAAGGATTAAATGCTGAGAATGGCCACAAATAAAACCACTTAAAAGACTGGGAGTGCAAAAGACAGGGAATGCCACCACTGCCCCTGAAAACAGTATGAGTTGCCTCATACACATGCAGAAGCTGGACTGTGAAGAAGACCAGAAAAGGACTGCAGCCTTTGAATGATGGTGCTGGCAGAGAATGCTGAATATAATGGGCTGCCGCAAGAACAAATAAATATATCTTGGAAGAAATGCAGGGAGGATGCTCCTTAGAGGTAAAGTTGGTGAGACTTTATCTCACATTGTATTAGGAGGGACGGGTACCTGAAAATGAAGATCCTGTTCAAGAAAAAAAAAGAGGAAGACTTACAATGAGTTGGATTGATAAAGATGCTGTAACAAGATCCTATTCAATAAAGTTGAAGGTCAAGAAAAAAAGATGACTTACAATGAGCTGGATTAACAAAGGCGCTGTAACAAAGGGTCCTGCAGAGACAGTGAGGCTGGCACTGACCGAGCAGGGCAAGGTTCTGTAGTCCATAAAGTTGCTATGAGTTGGAACTGCACCAGCTTCTCAAAGTTGATCACCTAGACTCTAGCCCAGTAAATAGAGAATTCCAGTTGTTACTTGTGTTGAGAAACAGCATGGACATACCTGTTTCAGGGGCAGATACTATGCTGAGTGAAGAAAGTGACTAGAAACTAAGCATATTATTGTGTCTGTTGGTGCCCACACATCTGTCTACTGCTGTAAGAGAAATAAGAAAGTGCTTTCTGCTTTAATTCCACTTTCCAATTCTCAAAGATGTGCATCTTGTTGGCAGAAGGAAAATGCCACCAGAACCTGGAGCCTGTGAATTCTGGCAATGTAGTTCTCTTGCCTCTACCCCCGTGATCCTTGGGAAGAGCATGGACAGGAATGCAGACGTGATCTGTACGGATTTTGATCTCCAGATGGCACAGAGGCTATGCTCGATTTTGTGAAGGCTGTTGATTTCAACCCCAAATGGGTGAAAATTTTTCTAAGTATTCCCCCAGTCCTCCCCCCCAACCCCCGGTCTCCCACTCCCCCCCACTCCCGGTCTCCCGCTCCCATGCCTACATTTTGCTTTCTGTTTCTTTTTCTGCTTTCCTGCTTCCTGTCCCATTTCATCTCTGCTCCTCTGGCTCGTGTCTGACACCACAGAAACAAACCAGAATGACAAAAAAATGGGAGTGAGAGCCTAGAAAAGGAGAGAGAGGCCAATTTCTAGTCTTCCACAGTCTGAGTGAGCCTCCAATGAGCCCTGTCCGATCTTTGCCGCATAAGCGTGAGGATCGCATGTTTGAAAGTTTCCCTCCGGCAGTGGAGATCTGCATGCTGCTGCCTGCTAAGAGCGGAGCTGCGTGCTTCCGCGTGGTGTCCATTGTCGTTGCTCAGAGTGAGCCTGTACGCGGAGCAGGATGGTTCCACCGAGTGCGCACGCTGTCCGCTTCCTGGAGTAGATCCTGGGTCTTTTCTCTGGGGTAAGCCTGACCCTTTGGTTAGCAGGCCAGCTCTTCACCACTGTGCCTGCCAGCCTCCTAAAAACCCCAAACCAACCCATTGCGGTCGTGTCAGTTCATACAGCAACCCTACAGGTCTGTCCCAGAGCGTGTCTAGGGCCGAAATCTTTACACACGTGGGAGTGGCCGGTGGGTTTGAACGAGAGACTGGTTACTTAACAGCCAGCGCTTTAAAACACTGCTCCACCAGGGCCCCTCTCCCTTTATAATCCTTTAAAATCCCACCTAGCTCTGTGAGATGAGAAACCGAAGCTCAGGGAGGTCGAGTAGCTTGTGATCGGCAGCTACCTAAGGCGCTCTGATTGCCCAGATTGGTTTGCAGGAGACGGAGCCTTCTTCCCAGAGGCGCGGCTGGAGCAGCAGCGACCTTCAGGCCGGGCCTCCCCGCTCCACGCAGCTTCATCACAGTTGAGTCCTGGGTACTCGGGCGCTTCGCGGCTGCCATCTGGATCTGGCGCCCGGGCGGCCTCACCCAGGACAGGGGCGCACGGGGAGGTGGCGGGTCCCCGCGCGGCGCTCAGAGGAGCAGCTTAACTGGTGGACCCTGAGCGGCGGGCGGGTCTGGTGGGCGGGCTCGGGTGCCGGAGAGAGGGTGGGCTCCGGGACCCGCCCCCGTGCGCTCCCATTGGCCGAGCGCGCCCTGGCCCTCCCGCCGTCCGCCCCCGGCGCCACTTAAAGAGCGCTGAGCAGGTGCCGCGCGTGGAGCCAGTTCCGTGCGCCTCCCGCCGCCGCGCGCCCATTCATTGCCAGCCGGCCTCGGTGCCCACGCGCCGCCAGTGGGCAGGCTCGGCGGACGCGCCGCCCCCGGGACCAGCCAGAGGAGCCGAGAGTGCGCCGAACCGGGCCAACCATGCACACCAGCGCCAGGGCCTGGGCTCTGCGCCTGGGCCGCGGGGTCGGGGGCGGCCGGCGGCCGATGGGGAGCGCGGGGCCGCACGGAGCCACCCCGGGCCGGGAACGCGGGGAGCGCGGAGCGGGGGCCTCGCGACTCCTCGAGCGCCTCCTGCCCCGGCACGACGACTTCGCGCGCAGGCACATCGGCCCCGGGGACAAAGACCAGCGGGAGATGCTGCAGGCCCTGGGACTGGCGGTAAGGACCCCCGATATCCGGCCTCCCCGAGTCCCGCTAGGGCTGGCTGGGCAGTATGGACCGGTCTGCCCCGGCCCCGAGTCCCTGCACCCCAGCGCCCCGCATAGGCGCACTTTCTTCACTTTTTTCGCGCCTCCAAACTTGGTGTTTAAAGAGCCCAAGACTTGGGGGCCCCGAGCCCGCGGGTAAGCTCTGATTTCGCTAACGTGAGTGGCGAGTCACCTTCCCTCCGGGTGACTTAGGTTTGCTCAAAGTTTTCCTTTCCTCCTTCAAAAGCACCGCGACTTAGTGGCGATTTAAATGAGGTCCCACAAGCCCCTGGAGATGCCAAGCCCCGTGGTTCTCACTCTTTGTCACTCGGAAGCACTTTGACTGGCCTTTCGTGGTCACCGACTTCCGTTTGCCTTTCAGAGCATTGAGGAGCTGATTGACAAGACGGTGCCCGCCAGCATCCGCCTGAAAAGACCCCTGAGGATGGACGACCCCGTGTGTAAGTGGAAGGGAACCCCCGGGCCTGTTTGCCTGCTGTGGGCGCTGCAGGCCGGGTCTGGGCTAAGGATGGCTGTGGGCAGTGACTCTGGGGGTTAAAATGGAAGAGTGGAGGATATCTTGGAGGCTGGGCGAGTGGATTCCCGAGAAGGCAATTCCACACCCCAGGAGGAGGTCCATGCGGTCTTCCAGAACTTCCCAGAGCTGGGTGCGTCGAGTGGCTCCACATCACAGCATCTAAATAGCCCAGCAGAACAAATCCTGCCCCCCGCTGCGACAGCCTCACAATTCAACTCTTTAATTCCTCCCTTTAATGGCCCCTCTGCATTTCCAAGCACGATGTCTTTCTGGACTGGAGGCCTCCCTATAACATGCCCAGAGGACACGGGGAGGACTCCTAATTCCCTGGCCCCGGCAGGGTCTGGGTTCTCTTGTGCTGTGGACTGTGAGGTGGCCCCCTCTCCTTTGCTATTGTTAGCAGCTCTCCTGGTAGAATTCTGCCTTCCCCATGGACAATCCAGGTTCAGTTCTAGCCAGTACACCTCATGGCAGGCCATTACCCAGTGGGCCAGTGGAGGCATGGGGGCTGCTAGGGTCCACTCCTAGAGAAAGCCTCGAGTTGCACAGACATTTAATGCTTGACCGCTCACCAGAACAGTCAAATCCAGACAGCGGTTTCTTGGGAAGACAGCGTATGTCATCTGCTGTCACTCCTTGAAAATCCTACAGAGCAGCTTTCTGTACATGGGGGTCTCTGTGAGTGGAATCTGACTAATAATTAGCAACAAGATGAACTTAGGGATCCAGGTGGAGCCTAAAGGAGAAATAAGGAATTGCCATGGGTCCTGCAGTAAGAGAAGTGGCAGGAATGAGCCCGAGGTGTACACCTGGTCTTCCCTGGCCAAGGCATTCCGTGTGCATGGCATTCATTGTCTCTTGGCTGGTGCTGTTCCCAGCTGGGCGTCTTCATGGGAGGAGACTGCTGGGTTTGCTGGTGACTTAGGCTGCAAACTTTCTGTTACCACAGCACAACACCACCAGAGCTCCCCTTTCTTTTACAACACGTTGTTAGGTGCAATTGATTCGAACCAACTCCTAACTGAGCCTTGAGTTTTCAGAAGCTATAAATCACACAAGAGGAGATTGCCTATCTTTTTGCCCTGGAGCAGCTGGTGGATTCGAACCAGCTGCCCACCTGCAAGGTTAAGAGCTGAACTCTTTACCCAAGAGACCATGCATGACATGTTGTTGTGTCAATCAGAACCCACTCCTAGCTCTTCCAGTGGTTTTCAGTGGCTGTAAATTGCCCATCTTTCTTCTGTGGATTTGAACCTTTGGGTTGGCAGTGCAACTCTTTGTCACTAGGCCGCCAGAGCTCTCTCTTACTGTATAACTTAGTAGCTTCAAATTGTCCTCTTATTCCTTGTTGAAGTTTTAATAGCCCGCACAGGAAGGCTCTGTGACTTTTCAAATCTGCAAGATTGACGCTCAGGTAGGGAAGCTGGTCAGTCATAGATTCCCTTAGAATTTTATTTTATACTTTATTGTAGAATTCCCCTCCCCCCCTTTTAACTTTTTTTTTTTTATGGTGAGAAAAATTTATTACATTTAGAATTGGCCCACTGGACTCAGTTTAGATGATCTCAATTTTGTTGGCAACATCCAAAGCATCATAATCAGGAGCAAGTCGAACATAGGCCTTCTTCTCTCCATCAGGCCTAATCAAAGTGTTGACCTTGGCCACATCAATGTCATAGAGCTTCTTTACAGCTTGTTTAACTTGGTGCTTATTGGCCTTGACATCCACAATGAACACAAGTGTGTTGTCTTCTATCTTCTTCATGGCCGACTCAGTGGTCAGGGGAAATTTGATGATGACATAGTGGTCAAGCTTGTTTCTCCTGGGGGCGCTCTTCCGGGGGTATTTGGGCTGCCGTTGGAGTCTCAGCGTCTTAGGCCGCTGGAACGTGGGTGACGTGCGGATCTTCTTTTTTTTTTGCTGTGGACGCCCTTCAGGACTGCCTTCTTGGTCTTCAATGCCTTTGCTTTGGCTTCAGTTTTGGGAGGGGCAGGGGCTTCCTTCTTCGCTTTCGGCGCCATCTTCGTAGCCCCTTTTAACTTTTTATCAAGGCACAAAGTATTTTGCCAACAAGTGTAAAGTGAGGATTTTGAACATGACTATTTTTTTTTACCCTGTATCCATCCCCTCCCCAAACAAAAACCAAGTCAAGCAAATTTATGCTTCCGATCAACATTTAGATGCTTTCCATTCAGTATTTTCTTCCCATGTTACCACGTGATTGTCCAATTATTTGTGTCCATCCATCTCATAATCCACAGTTTCTGTTAAGCTTTATGTCTGGGACTTGTCTATGTCTCCTGTTCAACTTTCTGTTCAGGAGAATCTTTTGGTAAAAAAAAAAACAAACCATGACCCAGCACTTACATAATCAAAGTGAATATGAAAAGGTAGTTTTTAGTGGTCCAAGGACTGATCCTTTCTCATTTTGATGTGGGCTGAGCTGAGAATCTGTAAGGCAAGGGGGTCACGTCACACAGGGTGGCTGGACTTTCTGAACAAGATAGAATGTGCACCTGCTTTCAAATCATCACAGCAGGCAACTGTATTTTTAGGGTTTTGGGTGAAATAGCTTATAGATGGTGCCTTAGCCTTGCTGGTGTCGTGGTTCGAACCCCCCTGAGACTCTCTGTCCTGTAGGGCTTCTGTGAGTTGGAACAGGCTTGATGGTGGAGGGCTCCGTTTTTGGTTGGGTGTCAGTGTCTAGTGTGGCTGTAACAGAAGTACAGATAGGTGGCTTTACAAATTTATTTTCTCACCATATAGGAGCTGAACGTCCAAAATCAGGGGGCCACCTCTAGGGAAGGATCATTTCAATCCTTAGGGGAAAGGTTCTTGTCCCCCAGCTTTTGTTCCTTGGCTGCTTGTTTATCTCGATGTGTCTGGAGGCCTGACTTCCCTCTCTCTCTTTAGCCAACACTTCCACCCTGTACCACCAGGGCTCCTTTACAGCTATTATGTTCTTGTCATTAGGTGCCACTGAGTTGAATCCAACTCAGACCCAGTGGGCAGACCAGGATGTTACCGTATCTTGTGCCATCCTCACAATCTCTGCTGTGCTCAAGCTTGTTACTGCAGTCGCCGTGTCTGTCCAGCTCCCTGAGGGGCTTCCTCGCTGCCCCTCTACCCTTCCCAGCAGGGTGTCTTTTTTCTAACAGCTGGTGCCTCCTGACAACATGCCCAACATATGTGAGATTCACCATCTCGGCGTCTCTGGAGCCCCCTCAAATAAGATTTGCAACATGTCACCTAACAGCACCAGCAGCCACAGCCAATCAGCGATCTACATGACCACTTCCTGTGCCAAGAGACAGCCCGTTCCCGCTGAGTAGTTAAAAATCCTGTTCATCTTCACGCCACAGGCTACTTCTTCTACCCTTCCTACCCCTCTCTGGTCTAGGACAGCAAATATCATCTAGGAGCTCCCAATAAAAATCTTCTTTGCTTAAAAAAAAAAAAGATTTGCAACATGTATTTTGGAAATACATAATTCAATTCCCAGGAGATGGCAAGTTCTATTTCGTTTTAAAGTGGACAGCTGAGGAAGGGCATCTGCTGGGTGCCAGGTGGTTTCTAGCTCTCAGGAGACCTGCTGCCCTTCCTGGTTTCAAAACTGACCCAGGCTGAATGGCAGGAACTTGTTCATAGAAAAGAATTGCACTTATTGTTGACTTGAACTAATTGGAACCCAGGATAGATGACAGACTTCTCCTTTACTTTTGAATAATCAGATTCGAGTCTTGGTGCAATGAATGTGTTGAAAGGGAAGGGTTGTGAACTTCAAAAAAAAGGAAAAGAATCCTTAGGTGATTATTGGAACAAAAAACAAAACAAAATTAGAAAGCAAAACTTTCGAAGTCAGAATTCTAAATTGAACGCTTCCCCCCACCCCCAAAACAAACTGTGGCCAATTTTATTGAAGAAAACTGTTACATGATTTATTTTTCACCAGTCTCTTCTGGCATGCTTCTAATGATATCAGAATCACCTGGATCAATGATAGCCAATGTGCATACTCTAGTATTTCCCACGTGCTGTGCCCAGTTCAATGTTATTGCCACTGTAGTGATGGACACAAGTTTTGGCCAAAATAGCGTCGTACTCGATTTCAGATTTCCTCAAGGCTGGGCAGTTGTTGGTGAGGATGGCCAACTTGGCTTTTCCTTGCCTTGATCATCCTCAGAGTCTGCTTGTACCCCAGCACGTATTTCCCACTTAAAAAAAAATATCTACGTATCACCTTGCACAGGGGCCATGCTAATCTTCTCTGTATCTTCCAGTATTAGTGTATGTGCTGCCGAAGTGAGCACTGAATTGAACGCTTTTTATAATATCCTGTAACGTTAGATGTCCTCTAAGAGCCTTCGGAAGTCCTGGTGGCACAGTGGTTAAGTGCTCCACTGGTAACCCCATGGTTGGTAGTTGGAACCCACCAGCCACCCCAGGGGAGCAGCACGTGGTTGTCTGCTTCTCTAGAGGGGAGCTGGCCTGGAAGCTCTGAAGGAAGTTCCGCCCAGTCCTGTAGGAGCATCAGCCTCAGAGCTGATGTCCTAAGTAGTGTGTGTGTCGATATCACATGGTGTGTCTATGTCAGACATGGTTTGGCGTCAGAAGGTGACACCAAAATGACCATCTGTAAAATATTTTTGTTCAGTATTTCTGTAAAAATGTATTACTTTTCTAGTAAAATATCCTTGTAATTATAACAGAAAAGTTTTTGATAAGCCCAGTTTACATGTACCAATAGCGCTTCAAAGCTGAAACTCTGCTGACTGGCTATTTGAATCTTCAGTTGAGCTACCTAGGAGGCAGTCGTCAGAACAGAGCAAGAAAACACTACATGGTTCAACATTAGGAAGGGAGTGTACCAGGGAAGTGTCCTGCCTCCATACCTTTTCAATCTGTATACAGAACAGATCATT